ATTGCTGTACAAAACCCTAATTATTTACTCTGTAATGACTACGTCGTTGCAGGTAAAATTGCCAGATGCTTCTGAACACTCTATTTAATAAAGAGAACTGTTTTTCAGAAAACTAGTGGGTTTTTTGACTGATTTAATCTGGAAAAAAGGAACTATTAAGTCCTCCTTTTTTTAGCAAAGCACTTTGCATCTACTAACAAAAATACCCTCTTGGATCTACAAATGATCATCCAGTGGCTCTATTAAATTTGCTCTGAAACCTGTTTCACTGCAACAGTGAAGACGCAAATGAGTCAAAATTGAGACAAACCAGAACAGTCTCCTCCTATTGTCTCGAGAGGCTTCAGTGATCTCAAATGTACTCCCAGGAAATTGAGTTTCAAGTTGGAGATAATACTGTATAAGCTATAAATCCATTCCACTGAATGGCTTGAGATGCCCTTGTGGATGCAGCATGTAACTTGTGAAGAAGACTAAGAAAAGACCATGATTTTTCCTACCTAAAATGCAGCCTAGCACTCCTTGAAAGAGGTGCAGCTGTTATGAGCCTGTAGCCAGTGGAGGGAAACCCTTTTCTTTCCTGGCACAGCCCTGTTGAGTCCATATTGCAGTCCCTAATCCAGCTCATTGCACAAATCTTTCTGTTGCTGTGGGATAGAAATGAACTAGCAAGGAAGACAGCATTGCTACTTTTGTTGGCATTGTGCCAACATTGTCCTGGCCTGGTTCAAGCAAAATCTGAATGTGAGATTCCACAACTACTTGGTTTTTGTAAAAATGCTGCTAAGAAGGATGGATGTCTTCCCTTTTACTCCTCAAGAGCCACATGTGCTTGATCCAGCTCCCTTTACAGCTGAAAAAACAATACTCCTGGTGCTAAGATCCAGCTGTTGAGATGTGCCTCTGCCCAAATTAAGGTTCAAACAAGATCATATGCTGAAGTCAATAATACAGATTTTATTTAACATGGAATGTCAGGGAGAAAGGTAGAAAAAAATGGAAAAGAAAACAGATCAGGTAGAAGATAGTCACCACCTGTAGATCCAGTGGTGTCCTTTTGATCCTTCTTTACCTTGGGCTTCTCATAGTGGGGATCTCCAGGTCTTTTCACTATTCATACATATTAGCAAAAAAACAAATTACTGCTCATTGGTTACACAGTTCTACTATTCTATTGGTTAATTGATTCCCTTGCTTCTAATGCTAATTAGTCATTGTAGTCAGTCTTCCTCTTTGTTTCAGTTGGTGGTTGCAATCTCCCCCTGCCAGAATTATGTTTTACCAAATCCAAGCTGATTTCAGCACAGTTGCTGAGCTGCTTTTCTTGTGGCCCATAAATTCTGCAGTTGTGTCCATTATGGGCAATCCATTCTTCTCCCCCAGCTTTGTTAACCTCCCCCTAGATCTGAGGTAACACTCAGACAGTAGCACCCCTTTTATCTTATCTCCTGCCGTGGTGCCTTATCTTACAGTCCAAGTTCCAGGTATCCAGGGAGGCATTTTCAAGCAGCTTCCGTGGTTGGTGGTGGTGGCAGATTTCAGCTGTCCCAGAACCTGGAGTGATCTTTGTTTGACCAGTGATGTGCCTTTGAGCAGTTGCTTCTTTACCCACGTTTCCATAATGGGAATTTTTGTCTGGATGCATTACCCAGAATGAGCTAACCTGTTCCAGGCCTGGAGACAGCACCATGCTGTCACTCCATTCTGTGCTTATCTCATGGCAAAGTCCTTCTGTGGCTGTAACAATGTTCGAGACAAGCAGCTGTATTAACTCCTTACACCTGGAGCAAAGGAGCAGATAAAAATGTGGGATCTGCTCACTCACTATCCTCACAATTATCATCGTGATGACTATGAAACTCCTCCCAGTTTAAGTCATATGTTTTCACCTTTCTGTGCTTACTCCATTAAAAAGAAATAAGAATCTTACAGAATTACTTTGATGAATATAAACCCTGATACTTGAGATCTTTTGGTTAAAGTCACCATCCTGAGGTTGACTAAATTTGAGTTAAAACTGATTTGTGTAGCAGTCATCAATTCAGGATTATAATAAAAGCACGTTTACCCTCACACAGTGGCAGAAGAAACCCCTGACATAAGGCTAGACAGCATAAGGAATTCTAGAAAAGAAAATTAATGAAGATTTTGAGAGTTATAAGCAATTTTTTCTTTTTTTTCCCTTTTCCCATCTGACACTAGAAATTCTAAGTGATTTCTTGAACACGTAATTGACAACATTTTGCTGGTGAAAAAGCACATAAAACATTTGGGTTATATTAGTATGTTTCCTAATCTCTTGCCTCCCCTTCCTTGTCTTCCATGTTTTCAACTGAAGCTGACTTAAAAACCCTGGTTAATGCTGCTGATTTGGTTCAGTGGCTCCAGGTTTAATCTCTGGTGGTGGTGGTGTCTTCCTCCCAATCCTTGTGCTGCTTCTCATGTTGCTTCACTGTAGTCAGTAGTGCATTTGGTCAGTGAAGCAGAGCAGGGGATGAAAGTGAAGCTTGGGAGAGCAGGAAAAATAAATCCATACCTGAATTGGTTTGCCAGCCTCATTCTATGTCTACACCCATCTCCCAAACACATGCAAAGACTTAGACACCTGTGCTGACCTTGATAAAAGGAACAGAACATAACGATTCCTTACTTGTCCAAATAACAGAACAATGTGTTTTAAAGAACTTTATAAAAGAATGTGTAAGTAGACACACAGGATGCTTCATGCTGGAACCGGTGGACAAATAGATAATGAGGAATACAGTGGGTTTGTGGTAATTACATAACAAGAGGCAACAGTGCATGCCTTAAGAGAAATTCAAGGAAAGGTCACCTGTAACACTGGGACTCTCAGTGAATGTGATCACCAGAGACTCCTTCAGAGGACCCTGTAGGAAGATAAAAGGATTCCTACTAAGAGGTGGATGCATGTAAATCAGTTCTAGGAAAAGTGATGTGTATGTATTAGCTAGGAAGTACACTGTAATCAATATTTATGATCATGGAATAAATATCCTTTGGTAAAGTTTAGTGACACATCGGATTAGAGGAAATAACCTCTGTGTGTCCAGCGTGCTGCAATAAAAAATGACTACTTTTTAATACTTCAAATTGTTTTAGAAGTTTCCTCCCTAGATGATTTTGGTATCAACCCAGAGCACTGTGCTTTGTCAGGGTGAATGAGCAGTGAGGGAACAGGGAGAGGGTGGTTTGTAATTGGTGCTGTTGAAAAACTTAAAAAAAAGTCTTTTTTGGAAAGTATGTAGCTTGAGTATTAGGAAATGTGTTCACTCTTGACTGTGGTAAATTGATTTGCTTAATTACAGGAGAAATTCAGTACTTGCAGCTCTGTTAGCTACTTTGACTTACCAAACTGAATTTCTCAATTATCCTTGCAGATGATGGTATAAAAAAATGTTACAAAAGTTGTAGCCAAAAAATGGAATTTGTATATCAAAGGAAGCTGCACAAATGTGTATTGAAATGCAGACTGGTAAAATGGCACTCAGAGTAAAATCAGGCTTAACATCATAGCTGTTCAGATGAAAGTGAAATGTCTTGATAGCAAGTGAAAAACTGCTTGCTGATTTTCCAGAATGAATTGCTTTAGTGAAGGGGGTGGACTTTTATTGGAACACTGCTTTATACTGAGCTGCCAGTTAAATCTTGAGCATCTGTTGGAAGAATCTTATGAAAAAGTTACCTAAATCTTGTATGAAGCACTTAGACTAAGGAATTAAGTTCTTCTGCAGAAAGTGGAATATTTAATAGTTTCAGTACTTCTGCATTTTATTGTACAACTGAAACAGGAACAGATTTAAGCCCACGCTGGTTTAGTTACATATGCAAGTGGTGAGTTACATACTCACTCATGGTGTTGAATTCATAGAGTTAAACAGGTTAAACTGATCTTTTTAAAGGCCCTAAATCTATGTCTCCTCTCAAATGGGAGCTGAAGGTCTAGAATCTGTGTCAGTGTAGACTTGCATGACTGTTCTATGCTAGGCTGTTTGCATGTGACTTCCGTGTCCTAAGTGATTATTTCAGCCTAACTTAGTTTCAATTGCTCCTTTTTTTTTTTTTGTTCTAATGACTGTGGTAACTTTCTTTAAGCAAGATGTCAGTGCCTAGCATTTTAGAGATTTTTTTCTTGGATGTTAAAACCAAGCCTCAGTGCTAATAAGACATTCTTATTTTCTGCAGCTAGAAAAGGTGTCTGCTCAAAAATATTAATATAGATCTTTTCCATTTCAACCTAGTCTACTCACAGATCAACCCCAAGTTTTGAACTTTACTTTGTCCTTTCCTTTCTGTTGAGAAGACTAATTGTTTAACTCTTTGTGTTATTGGTTCTCAGCTTAATTCAACCTGGAGCCTAAGTATGTTTCTGTCTTAGAATTGTACCCCATTGTGTCTTGCAGAGGAGAGGAGGGAGAGAGCTTTGCTTACTTATTCCTACGTTTTTCTTGCTTTCCCTTGCTTAATGTGAAGGTAGTAATGATATTAATACAGGTCCATTCTTCCTCTCTACAACTTGCCTCATTAATTTTGAATGTACTGCATTTGTGTTCTCATATGACGTGGATGAAGGTCAGTCATGTCACACTGCTGGCGTGTGTGTGTGTATGTAATACCACTCAGTGTCACTTACTAATATTCCAAAATAAGAAGTGTTTACTTTAATCCATTCTATAACAACAAATCATCAATGGGAATACATTCCCTTTGTAGTAAAAGAATTATTTTGTTATAAGATTAAGGCAAATTCTTTATGGCATTGAAACAAAAAAGTGTTTGACCTTGGGTGATAGAATATGTCATCAGGAAAGAACACGTAAACCTTGCTTAAGTGATAAATGAGAATTTGCTTTTTCTTGCTCACACCTTATTGACAGGAAAGTATTAAAACATCCTTTCAAAAATATTTATCCTTGTCTTTGAAGTTGTTTAATATATCTTAGATTGTGCAAGCATAATCAGATATTTTTTTCTCCCCCCAGTCGGTGTTATCCGCTGTCCCATTTGTGGTCAGGAATGTGCAGAGAGACACATCATAGATAACTTTTTTGTGAAGGATACCACAGAGGTTCCCAGTAGCACAGTAGAGAAATCAAATCAGGTAAGTGCATTAACATGTAATCAAGTTAACTCCTTTTAGATGTGTGTGCATATCCTTGGCTTCTTGCTGTGTGGCCTTTTTGTTCTTCATATGCAGACAGAGCTTTAAGTACTTAGACATCACATGGGGTAGCTACTCTAGAAAATCAGTTAAAATGTATGAAAATGCATGTAAAGAAGGTGGTTATTTTTCCCTAAACTATTTTTAATTGTTGATATAAACTTGCATCTTAATAGCAAAAGATAAAAGTAAGGAATAGGCATTAGAATGGGAATTTCTGTACTTTGAACAGGGTACTTGCAGCATTCTTTGAAGCAGAGACTTGAATAACACTACACCAGGAGATATAAATGGACATTATCACATTACTGACAAAACGTGGGACTAAATAGCTGGAGTCCTGTTGCCAAGGAAGAGGCTCAAAATGCTAATTGGAGAGGATAGTATATTGTAGGGGTTTCTTGTTTGTGTTCCTTATGTAGACTGCCTCTTCTTTCTTTTGCAGTCAAGTAATAGCCACCTTATAAAAATTGCTTATCTGGAAGAATAGTAATATTGTTGGTTTTTGGTTTTTTCTCATGATGTTTTTTCCAGGAGGCAAGTATTAGCTAGTGTGGAAGCAATAGCAAATTAATAGTCACATCTGTATAGGATCACAATTGAACAATCTCTGTTAGCAAAATATTGCATGTCTTCAATTTTAGCTATTAAGGGAGTATCTCATGCATCTCTTTACTCATCAGCTTTTTATTAAACTCCAGGAACTTATTGTAAATAATTCAGCCTCTTTTTATGTTGCTGCATTCTTCATAAGAACAGAACAGTAAGGTTGCTATATGGATGTGGCTTGCATTGCAACTCATGTCCTAATATTTGAATGATGGTTTCCTTTTATTTTGAAAATCCCTTTTTTCACTTTCCCATTTTAGGAGGACTGTATTCTTATCTCTTGAGCTGTTTGCTTCAGGGGCATTGTCTTAAAGCTCCTTATTTTGTGTTCTGCTTGTTTCAAGTCTTAGCTGGAATCTGTGCTTGCATGTGAACAGCCACATCTCAGAACAGATGTCAGGACCCAGTCAGGTTCATGATGCCAACTCACTGCCTATTGAAGGCATAAGGAGTGTCCTCATCTCTGAGGTAGAGGACTTGTGTCTTGCAAGCCATTAAACTGTTCAGATTTTAAGGAATTTTGAAACTGGATTTCTGAGAAATGGTAGACCTTACCAGAAACTGATATGGAGTTGTGAGTTGCTGGAAGTACAAGCTGTGTTCTTGCAATGTAGGACTGTTTGAACTTGGCTTTTTTTGGATTTGGCAGGGGGAAATGTTGGTTTGTTTGTTTTGTTTGTCCCCTGGGAATTGCAGGAAACTGAGTTTTGCAGATGGTTGTGAGATTTACACAGTCTCTTAATACTGTACCAGTAACATTGACAAAATGAGTAGTCCCTGTTGAAAATTTGATCATAAGTTTTATGGTGACTTTAAAATTAGGGAGAGAAGCAAGATAACAAATATTGTTATGCAGAAGCAGTCCTAAATGTGTGTGTGGGGGGGTTTTGAGAGGGTGGGGCTGTCCCATAGCCTCTGCTTAGTTACGTAACAAGTCCTCAAAGATACTGCTTTGGGGAGTGGTGATAGAAATGGAATTTCTTTTTTCCTTGGGAGTAGTAAGCATTTTTTTTTTAAGTGTCTGATCACCCCGTCTTTCCCCTCAATATGTTTTTGCTTCCTGTGAAAGTTAAGTGGAGAATTCCGTTCATTGAGTGGTGTGAGCAGATGTCAGGGAGGTTCTTGAAAGCATTTCTGTGTCCTTAGGATCCCTTCTAGGCTTCAGTCTTACTCTTCCATTCTGTATTTGTTTCTCCCTCTCCCTGACACAAACCAGGAAGTTGGAACTTTGAAAGGAGTCTGTTCTTCAGCTAAGGTCCTTGGCTGAACTCAGCACACTTTCTGTAGCAGTTGAAGACAGACCAGCAGACTTTGCTGACCAGCAGAATAGGACATTCATGTGCTTTTTTGCTGATTTATTTATAAAAAAATTGAGCTAGATGTTTTGTTAGATGCCTGCTAAGTGAGTGTGTACCTTACTTCTTGGAAACAAATAATGTGCAGTTCTCTTCCTTTGAATAGATTTATTTTGGTATGATAATGAAGCTTTTTATACATTCCTTTGTACCTTGACATAAGAAAAAAGCTACACTGTTCTGTAAACTTCTCTGTTGTGGAACAAAGTTAACTCAATAACAGTTAAACTGATTAGTGTACTGTCCAGGGGGGAATATTATGAGGTTTAAGGATGATACAGCCTTCTAACCAGCCTGTTTTGTTTTGCCTTTGAAGGAGCAAAGAGAAGAGAAAGAACATTTGTCATTAGCATAGGCAACAGATCAGAGAAACGAAAGTGGAAAAGATACTGACACTTGCAGGAAATACAGCATCAGAGATCATCCAAATTCTATCTAAAACTGTGTCTATTTTATAGGATTTTTCTACTGAGATAGTTAATTTGTCTTCAATAGTTTTGCAGCTTTATTTGAACGGTTAAGAAATTCGAATTGGAAGCAAGGCATGGATTTTGTGCAAATATTGTTGTGGCTTATGTGATAAATGTGATTCGTGCTAACTAAATTGTAACTATATTAGCAAAATTGTACTCATATCAATAGAAAATAATTGTTACAAAGCAAAAAAAGGAAATGGTGAGACAAAGCAGATGGAATCCTCCAGATGTTAGGTGGGAGTAGTAGAAGGATGTAGGTTTGATAAGCAGCATCTAGAAATAAAAAGTTTCGACCTTGGAGTGGGCCAAATTGGGATGATTCCAGGCATGGAACTTGAATAAGGTTTTATTGTGGGAACATGTGCTTAGCTACATAACCCCAAGATTAGTGCTCTTGTGCTACCTTCAAGGTTCCACAGCAGACACTGATGAAGACAGAGAGCCTTCATTGGAAATAAGACCCCTGAAAGGATGAGAGACCCCTAACTGCTAATAGGGCATGCACAACACAACATAGTGACGTGGATTTTTAGGACTAGAAACTAGGAGGAGCTTTCCAGAAAATTCTGAATATGTATTAGCATATAGTATATAAGTGGGATTTTTGGATTGATTGTTTGGTGCATGAGGAAGGGCAAGCCCCTCCCCAGACCCCTGGTCGATTTTGCTTATGCTTTATAAGAACCTCATATACTAAATTACTCACTGCCAAATTTTGTATATACTCAAATATGTGTATCTAATATACTTTGTATTCATTTATATACAGCTATTTAAAAAATTGCTGCTAAATTTAATCTTGTTTAATAAATTGGACAAATAGAATGACATTCATAACACTGAGAACCAATGGTCTGTATCCATGATTAGCCTTACATGTGTGTTGTCAGGAAGGACTGCTTTATTTCAATCCAGGACAGACTGCAAAAGACCTCTCGGAAATGAAATGTTTGATTGTTTCAGATTCAAAATGGTACTAATGCTAAAGCAATTTTTAGCATACTGAATTAAAAACTGCAGGAGTGAATATTGTGATGCCTGGAATTGTGGGAAGAGGAAAAATAACTGGATCCCATGAAAGTGCTATCCCTCTGTCTGTAATCCTGTTTATCTTACCTGAGACTGATTTGGGCAGTTCAGTACACTACTGGCATAGCTGTGCTTTCTAGCAATTACTACTGAAAACTTCAGGAGCACAAGAAGTGAGCAAGAAAAAAGTACAGAACTCCCTAGTATGTGTTCCACAAGAGCTTTCCTGGGTAGCATTGAAGGTTTTGTGCTGGCTATTAGCATAGGAAACTTTGCAAAAGAAAAGAAACTCACAGGAAACGCAGTTGAGATCTTCCCGAAAGTAATTGCTGTAGGTTGTGGGCAGCTAGGACATAAATACTTTGAAAGAGCAGATGCTTTCTAATTTTTTTCCCTATTGTGATTTATTGAAAGACTTAGCAAAATTATTGGCTTCTAAAGAGATGTTTGAAAATAAAAATTAATTATACTTCATTCGTAAGAGTGAGCAGAAAGGAGCTTCAGACTTAAAAGATGTAGCTGAAGCAAGTGCTAGATTTGAATAAGACTAAAGGGTAAACAAGTGAGGGAAATTCAGGGACTTTAACAGAAGAACATGGGGTATGCAAAGCCATGAAAATAAAAATGAGAAATATAAGATTGATGCAAGAGAGAAGATCTTAGTGATAATATGGGTGTTGGTGCAGCATACTGAGCCTCTAGTGCATTTTAGTCTAGGTTCTAATTCTCAGTTTCTGTGTTCAAAATAGAATGTGTGTAAAAATATTTTTGATGGCAAGAATAACTTTCTGTATCTTTACCAGTTACTGGCCTGAGAGTTTAAAGTATTGTATAAGGAATGAAGAACAGCTGGGTTTTATTTGAAATGATGGGAATGTAGTAACAAAATAAGGTATCAGCTTAGATGTGATGCTAGATCCAGTTAATAGGAAAGCAAGTCTGACTGCTATAATGAGGTGATTAACGAGGAGAATTTAGAACAGTAAGTTTCTTTAAGTTTGTATGGTGCTAGAGGAACCACTGTGTGCTTTTCCAGAGGAGACCTAGTATGCTTAAGCAGCTTATAAAAGCTGTACCTGCAAAACATCTTAGAAAGCCAGTGGATTATGGAGGTGCATGCAGACTCAGGAAGAGTCACAATGTGCTCTTGTATGCTTTGGAGAGATGGGGCTGTTGGTGGCATGCTGGGTGAGAAGGACACGTTGATCAGATGTCCTGCATTTTGAACTGTCAGTACATGGGTCAGATTTAGAATTACATGTAGGCACTTCCTTTGGTGATTTTGTATGTGCTGAGAGATAATTACATAACAATTAGCATCAGTGAGGTTTGGATCCAGTGGGGAAAGCATTGCATCTAATTTACACTGGTGAAGTTTGGAGTTCATTGAATATTCATCTGGACTACTTTGCTCTCTTCCTTTGAAACCTTTGCTTGATTACTTAATCTCTTTAATACTCAAAGTGTATTTAATTGGAAGAGTGGTTACTTACTACAGTAGCTGAGAAGACAGGTCTATTACCTCAGCTCTTTTAAGTAAATGTGTTTTTTCTGCCATAAAAGCTTGTGTATTTACTTAAAATAGTACTTACCTGCAACATGCTGAGTAATTTCTGCTTTCATTAAATTTGACTGAAGGCTGAATGAACACTTCCTGGGGTTATAAATACTAGAACTCGTGACTGAATTAAATGTAATTACAAGAAAAACTCATTTAAAAATAAATGTCTGTCTGACCAGAATAGAGGCTTATATGTTAACTAGGGAGAGTTTTCTTTGAAATCACTGAAACACTGCTTGTGTGGGTCACAAAAATTAAAATGAAATGAATTTTAGGTTTTGTAAGTGCATAACAAATATTTGCAGTAATTATACTTCCATGTACTTTAGCTGTATGGCTTACTCTAGTAATTAGGAATTCTAGCAAAATATAGCCTATATGTGAAAATGCTATTTCAAATCAGAAGTGGATAGGAGCAAATCTGATGTTAGGCACTGCTGTTTTGACAGCTTGAGTTATGATGTCAATGAAAAGCTTCAGAAATCTGTCTCATGTCCACTTGGTTGATATGAGGAGAATAAAGGTGGGATATATATTTTTGATACTACAAAGAAGGAGTTTTGATTCATTTGGCAGCACCTTATTATTGGTTATTGAATCACAATTTTCATTCCACGTACAGTCAAAGCAGTTGAAAAAACCCATCTAAGGCATATTGAAAAGAGAAAATAGATGAAGCTCTTGGAATCTAGGGAGAATTAATAACCTCAAAAATTCTTTGAAGTTACCTAAATGCCCTGGCATGTTCATCTGCCTGATTTTGCTAAAGGTGATCTGGAAAGGCTGTTGTGGGGAGTTTGGTTAGTTGCTTTTGCTTTTCATTTGGTTCCTGCCTATTTTTTTTTTTTTTTGGTCTTTGCTTTGCTTCTTTGACTTAGATGGACTTAGAGAACGTCTGAAAAACTTTTTTTTTTCTTTTTCTCTACTTATTTTGTTTTTACTGCTGGTTTCTTTTACACTAGAAAGCCATACATCCAGTATGCTACTCTCCACTCTGACTTTGAATAACATGTCTGGGTATTTGGGGGCACAGCACAGTCACACCTCTCTGGCAAGAGACAAGACTGATGTGAAAACTTTGTTGTCCTGCCTATTCAGTTCACTCTGCAATCAGCATTGCTGATGTAACTGAGCCTTGGGCTACGATGGTGTAATCCTGCCTTGCATTTCAGACTTGCAGAGGGTTGCACTGGCACAAAAAGGAGGAGACAACTGGCTAAAGAGAAAGGAGGGAGAGGATTTTTTCCCCAAGAATTCAGAGTACTTTAAAATTTTTTGGTTTTGTTTTTCAAAACATCATTGAATTTAAGGGTTAATAACAAGTGTTAAGCTTTAACCCCAGCTGGTAACCAAGGATCATGCAGCTTTTTTTACTTCCCCCTTTCAGTTTACTTTGTCCCTTCCTCCCCACCCCACCTCCAGCGGGATAGCTGGGAGATTCGGGGGGGAAAAAAAAGGTAGAACTGTAGGTTGAGATAACAGTTTAATGAATGAAACAAAGTAACATTAAATAATTATAATAATAGTAGTAATGAGAGAGAGGAAGGAATAAAGCCCAAGACAAAACAAGTGATGCTGAATAAATTTGCTCACCAGCCACTGACCAATGCCCAGGCTGTCCCTAACAGAGATTGGTGCCTCCCACCCAGCTCCCCCCACAGTTTTTATGCTGGGCACGATATTCTGTGGTGTGGAATATCCCCATGGGAAGTGCAGGTCAGCTGCCCTGGCCTCACTCCCTCCTTGTGCATGTGCTGACTGGCAGAGAGCATGGGAAGCTGAAAAGTCCTTAGGTTTGTATAAGCACTGCTTAATAAACTGATGTGCTCGTTGTTGTTATCAATGTTATTTTCGTACTAAATCTGAAACCACAGCACAGTGCCAGATACTAAGGAAAACCCCCACTCTATCCCAGCTGAAATCAAGACAGAAAGCAAAAATTTTCAGTTTCCTGATTACAGTTCACTTCCTTTTATTGCTTTAATTCCATTTTCTAGACTTTTCTGTGATGGTATTTTTCCCTAGTTTAATGGTCTGGATAGGAATAAGGATTTTTTTTTTTTTTTTTTTTTTTTGTTAAGAGAAGAAGGGGAAGAAAAAGAAAAACCAAGGAGAAGTTAAATTTTGGAGATTATTTTGAAAAATAAAAGTTTCAGGCCTCATTTTTGTAAAGAAAGAGAAAAAGGGGCACAAGCCCAATTATTTCTCCTTTGCAGGTCACCTTTAGTGAAAAGAAACTGTTTCAAACTCCAAGTGACAACAAGAGGAGTCAACAGCCCTTGTGTTGTAACTTCATTTATTGCTTTGAGAGGTAACATGATCCAGAAGAATAAGCCCAGCATTGGGAATCTGGAACTCATATTTGAATTCCAGTTCTTTCAGTAACTTGCTATCTGGCCTAAGGCAAGTTTTGTGCTATTTCCTCTCTTTCCTGAAGGGGAAACTGGAACATAGTTCTATGTATATATTTTTTATCTGCATAAGATAGAAATATTTCCTTCCTCTTTAACTTAATCTATATTTACCCTGTGTGGGTGCGGAAGTCATTTGGTTGGGTTTTTTTTAATCAAACTGAAAACAAAACTAAAACCTAAAATTTTCTCCTGGTTGCTCCTGCCAGTAGAAATCTGTCACTGTGGTCTATAGGATGTAGCAATCTTCAGACACCTTGAGGCTTTGGTTTGCAACAGTGCTAAACATTGCCAGAAATGGGTGGTAGTTACCTAAACAAGGATCTGCATCAGCATGTTCACTATTTTTTACTACCAAAACCCCACTGAAGGTAGGACTGCAAAGGCATTGTAAAGGAAGGGTAAAAATGAAATGATATTATGAACTTTTGAAATGGTGTTGTCCATCATTCAGTTTTCAGCCTGCTCTTCCTACTGTGGCACTTTTGTGCCACTTTTTGTAGCAATTTTGTCCTGTGTAGGTATTTACTCTGTGTAGAGAGATTTTGGTCTGCTGACTTGTTTGTTTTCCTTACTTTTTAAAATTTTTTTTCCCTAGGTCTGTTTGGTATAGTCCAAAGAGCCCCAGGGGCTAACAGGCCACAGTTTGAAAATTCTTATGCATTGGTTGCAAATCTGTTCTGGAGTAGCTTTTTTTGTCAAACTTAACTGGAATACAGTCTTTAAGAGGTGATGCTAAGATTCTTGAGAGGAACCTTGCTGCTCAGGACTGTGTGTGCTTCCTGAAACCAAGCAGGTGACTGGAAGCTGAAATTAAAGCTGCTGTGTGAACTAAGAGAGGCTTTAAAATCACAGCAGTGTTGGTCGTTTTCTGTCAATAGTAAATATGGCACCAATAGCATCTTGTATACACTAAACATTGTTTGGCTTCTAGGTGTGCAGGGAATGGCAGAGAGTAGTGGTCTGACTTTTATCATGTCAGGCAAAGATTTTAGGGTAACACTGACAAAATGACCTGTTTCTTTGAAAAGTCACATTCAATTACTTCTGTGCTGTTATTTATAATGTTCCTGTACCTCAGGCAGTTTTCCGTTCTCATTTCACTTTTTTCAGAAAACTGTGAAACTGGAGTGATGATGTATGAAAAATAACCTGTGTGTATATTCCAAACTTATTTTAACAGCTACCTCCTCTTCCTCTTGTCAGGTCTGCACAAGCTGTGAAGACAATGCAGAAGCTCATGGGTTTTGTGTGGAATGTGTAGAGTGGTTGTGCAAGACCTGCATCAGAGCTCACCAGAGGGTTAAATTCACAAAGGATCATACTGTGAGGCAGAAAGAGGAAGTGTCTCCAGGTAACATATTCATAATTTCACAAAGAATTTATTTCTGCATTGGAAAATTATATTGGACCAACACATTTTTTATAAAAAGTGATAACTTGAAAGCTGGTTTTCTGCCAGTTTTTTGTCTCAGATAAGGTGAATAGTGGTGCAGGTTGTTTTTCTTTTTTTTGTTTTTTTTATAATTTAACATTTTTAAACCAATAAATACCGCATAGATTTTATCTTTCACATGAACTGATGATGGCAAATTATTGTCTAGACTTTAGAGATCAGCTGCAGAAAATACTTCTTTAGGGATATGACTCCTCTTGTTTTACTAGAGGCCTAACAAATTAAACATGAGTTTTAACATGAGCTTTATTGTTGTATACAGCAGGAAAAGGAGCATTAATAATAATTAATAATTATATTTTTTCAGCATTCTGATGAAAAGCCAGCCAAAATTCATGTTTTAGCTAAGTGTCTTTTGAGCTTGAAATGTTTTGCCTTAGAAATGTAAAGTATATTATGAATTGGGGCATTTTTCCTCAGTAGGGTCTAGGGTAAATTCAGGCTAGAAGGAACCTCAGGAGATCATCTAGTCCAGCCTCCTGCTTCAAGCACTCAGTTTTGAGTTCCAGTTGCTCAGAGCTTTATCCATCTGGGCCTTGGGAACCAACAGTGGTGAATGTGGTGTACAGTACAGCCTCTCTGAGAAATCTTCATTACTCTGGTAGAAAAGGTTGTATTTCTATTCATTGAGAACCTCTTTTGTTTCCGGTTTTTCCCCACTTTGTCTTGTCTTTTAGTGTCATTGTAGGAGAATAATAAACATTATAGGGTACTGACAAACATTCTACTGGTTCTAATATGTCCATTGAACTTGCATGATTTCGCTTGTAAATATATAATTTTTTATTTTATTTTTAGCAATTGTTCCATGTTATTTTAAATATATGTATTAGATACTTATTTTCATTCCACCCTATCTAGTATTATGAGGTAATCTCTTGCTCAAAGGGTATCTTCCACCGTGTTACTTTGAAGATACACACTGTATTCTGTGTCCCAATTTCACACATGATTAATCAAAAGTGAAGAAAAGAAAGAGAACTGAGTGTACTTTCAACAGAGGACAAAAGTGGGTAGAAGTGGCTGATGGAGTGTTAGAACATGACTTGGTGGTAGGAATGGTCCCAGTGCACTCAGGCCTCTTTGGGAGGCAGTTTGTTGGTGAGTTGGAAAGAATTTTGACTGAAGCATACAGATCTGAAACTAAATTCTTCCAGATTTCTTGAAAATAAATGAATGGGTGTGAAAAAGAGACCTTATGGATCTGCAGTGAAGGGTGTGTGAAGCCAGTTTTCATTACAGGCTGTATAATCCTCATGAACTCAGTGTCCAGCCTAACTCCTAGGAAATCAGGCTTTGTCAGTTAAATTGTGTAAAGAAACAGATTTCATTTCTATTATATTGTGATGTTTCCTGCACCCTTTGATATTTGCTCACTAGAAACTGAAATGAGACCTCTCACCCATTAAGAATGGGGTCCTGAAATGAAGTTCATTTCTCCTGGTTATTACATTCTGTATGTTCTACACTTTGAATGTCCACGTCTTGATATTCTCAAACCCCTTTCCACCAAGTCACCTGAGAAAGAAGACAGAGCACGAATGGACTCAACCACCTTCTCATCTCCACTTAAGAAAGGAGCTTGCTGGTTGTGCAATGCCTTTTGCAGCCACAACAGTATTGGCTACTCCTTTTGTAAATAGTTTTGTGAGGTCAGAAGAGTTTAATTTAAAATAGGTTCTAGACATTTTCCATTAGAGAGGGTGCTGGTTCCGTGCTTGAGCAACGAGAGTGAGACATTGCAGTTGGAGCTTATGGCTGTTACAGTCTCAGTCTCTAAGGAAAAACAGGTGAATGCAAATCTTGAACAAGTTCAGTAGGCTGTGCTAACATTTTCCTTTATGCAACAGAGGCAGTTGGTGTGACCAGCCAGCGACCAGTGTTCTGCCCTTACCACAAAAAGGAGCAGCTGAAGTTGTATTGTGAAACCTGTGACAAGCTGACCTGCCGAGACTGTCAGTTACTGGAGCACAAAGAGCACAGGTATCAGAGCAAAGTGGATGTTTCATCCATCTCACTTACAGGAAAGTGGCCTGAAGTACATTGTAGTTCTAGATGTATGGAACACAGGTGGAAAAAGTGCAAATTAAAATTTTCTGCTCAGACATGAAACTTACAAAAAAACAGAGATTGTAACCCAAAGAATGTGACTGGTGTGTGTGTGTTAACATCTAGAATAAAATCTAATTCTTCCAGTTGTTAATCTGGTGACTTAAGCACAAGACCTTTTTTACAGTCAAGTTACTTGGTTAGAATTTGTTGCTATGCAGCTCTTCAGAGAGTCCTTAGAAAACACAGGGGCTGTGTTATGCAACTGTACACTTACGTGTAATTTCTCCGTTTGTCCTTCAACCAGATTATATAACAACGTTACCAAACAGTTTCAGAATGGAGCAAATAGGGATTTTTTTTTTTTTCCTCTGAAGAACCCTTTCAAAGGAAGGGGTAACCTACAGTTTAGCTGATACTCTGACAACACTATAACACTCAAATCTTTGTGTTGCTGTTCTTTTGGTCATCTCTTACTGGCCACTGAAGCTGAAAAGCAGAATTATGTACAACTTCTGAGTACAAGGCAAAAATCTTGCTGGTTAACTCATACAGTAGTGGTTTGGACAGATGCACTCTGGTTAAACATTAATATGCTTGCTCTACCTGATGCAACCACCCAAAGGGCTTACTTACCTGACTAGGTGAACATCAGCAGGTGGAGAAGTGTTGGCCACTCTTGCTTCTTAGGAAAGGCTAAATATTGCTCTTACAGAGCTGCAGTCTTTCTTTTTTATTCTCCTTTTCTTAGGATTTATATTCCTTTTATAATGTGCCACCTCTTTTTTTCCTCAGATTGCTAAAGATTTCAGTTCCTTGATTTAAAATGTTGCCAACTTCTACCAACTCGGCAATCTCTTTATTTCTGCATCCTTGTCTTTCATCAAGTAATAGTTTACCTGCATTTTCACATTTAAAGTGATGACTACCTCATAACATTAATTTTTCTTTTGCTAAAATTAGGCTGTGGTCACACAATATTCTTTGTATTTATGAAAATCGTAAATTCTTCCCTCAGTATGACAGGAAATAGACTATAAAATTAAATATACTATAAATGAAATATATAAGCATTTGCTGACATATGCTTCCATGGTGACAGTTAAATTTCAGATTTGAGCAGCCCCTTTCTCCAATTAAAGAAATATTATTTTATAAGTCACTCTGCTTTTTAGTAAGCATATCACACCTTTTACATGTGTAAACCCTCACTGCTTTTTACTGCAGGTACCAGTTTATAGAAGAAGCTTTTCAGAACCAGAAAGTTATCATTGAGACACTAATCACCAAATTGATGGAGAAGACTAAGTACATAAAATATACAGGGAAGCAGATCCAAGACAGGTTTGTATCAGATTATGAGGTTAAAACTGACAGAAGGCAATTTTACATATACTGTAGTTTCTTGAAATGTTTAAGTTAGTGTATTTCGTACTTCTCTCCTTTTATTCTTCCACAAAGAGGAATTCTGAAGTTCACTGTAGTGGCTGGTGCCTGTTCAGTATGCTTGGTTGCATTAGGTAATTCTTCTGCTCAGCCTGTGAACTTAATGGGCAGCACTTGCTTGGGTGCAACAAAACAACTTATGCAATAAAGACTGTAGGAGACAGTCTTAAATGCTTCCCACCATCAGCAGATTAATTTTCTTTGTGTAGATCCCTCTTAAAAAGTGAAAGGTTATGACTCATGTTTTCATGATGTTTGTGACATGTGTTTGAAGATTTATGTGTTATTTTTATGCTTGGGGCTCTATTCACTAGGTACTACAAGCCTAGGAGAAAATAAATCTGTAAAATGCAATCTGCAGCAAGCCTTTGTGGCTGCTCCTTCAGCAGAGTTCAGGGGCAGCAGTGCCCAGGGAGATTCAGTACAGTCAGGGATGCCAAGTGTGGCTTGAGCCCTTCCTTCATCTTTGCAGTAGAGGTTTCCCAAATGTAACATCAAGCTTTGCTGTTATGAATTTGAGCACTGTTGTTGAAATGGCTAAATTAGTGCCATTCTGCCTGAGATGGAAATTAGACTTCAATAGTTTTAATTGGCATGGACCATTCCAGAAAAGTGCCAGAACTCTGAAAATGGACAGTTTAAATTACAATGAGCATTTAATTTTTATCAGTGACAGATGTCAGAGTTACAGCATTAGAGTTTGCCACCAGTTAATTAATTTTATCAGAGGTCACTCTTACTTGCTCTATTTCTCCCAATAATTTCCCTGACTACAAGTATCTGATGATACATGTATTAATTGGTACATATGACCAAGAAGTATTGTACTCTGAGCATCAGATTTTTTTAATACTGTATAGAGGATGGGTTTATGTGATAAAGAACATTATTTTCTCTGTCTACTTACAGAATTCTTGAAGTGAATCAGAATCAAAAGCAGGTGGAACAGGATATTAAAGTTGCCATATTCACACTGATGGTAGAAATAAATAAAAAGGGAAAAGCTCTGCTGCATCAGTTGGAGGTAATTTAATTTCTGCCATAAGAAAGAAAAATTTCAGTCTTAATATTTTTTCTGTGTATTAACATTAAAGTAAATTTCTAGCATTAGTCCTCTCTGCATGTCCTCTTATGATTCCAAAGTGGAGAGATGTCCTATAAAGCTACTTGAGCAAATGGGGGTTTTGGTGGAGGAAAGTTTGGTTTTTGAGGGGTGGCCAGTTTCTTTCTCTTTGCTTTTGCAATTCATAATTCTATGCATCATGCAGGAAAAGTGTTCTATCAGAATTTCCCATAAATTCAGTAGTAGTCTTTTCTTTTTGATAGCTGCATCAGGGGGCAGGAGTCCTTTTCAGAGGAGCTAAGTGAAACCACGTGATGATTGTGAATTACCAATATGAAAGTTAAAGCCTTTTAACTGTAAATGGAACCTTTTGACTGGAACTGCTTTTCTACTTGCAGACTCTGGCGAAAGAGCATAGGATGAAACTTCTGCAGCAACAACAGGAAGTGGCAGGTCTCTCTAAACAGCTGGAACATGTCATGAATTTTTCCAAATGGGCAGTTTCCAGTGGGAGCAGCACAGCACTGTTGTACAGTAAACGCCTGGTAAGGTTAGGAAGACAGCTCTCCATTCACCTAGAGACTAGAGTTAAATCACATATGCATGCACATGCTTGGCAGGAGTACCAGGGTATTAGAATTCTTAATGATTTTCTACTAATTGGAATATTTATATATTGTTTTTGTGGTTTTCTCTTAAACATAAATACAGAATGTTTCTATTAATTTAGCTCTCTGGTCGTGGTTCTCTTCTGTTACAATACCATAGAACTATTGTAGATCTGCAAAATCTCCTTTTCTCTGGGTTGAAAACCATGAAACATTGGGAAAAAATGTTGTGTGTCCTACATCATCATTGTGCTTCTTTACAATACTTGCTAGAGCATTTGAGTTCATGAAAAACAGTACTTTTATATCATAGTGTCTGGGTTTTATATCAGTGTCTGGTATCTAGCATTTTAATGTAAATATTATTGTATGTCTTTGTTCTGTCAGGTTCATCTCCCATTGAAAGTCTTTCAAAATCAATAAATATTAAACTTGTTTAATTTGTTTGTCCATAGAACCAATTACAAAGTTAAATATTTCATTGCTATAGTGACCCTTAAGATCTGAGTGCATGTTGTCTCACTAAGCTGACTGTTCATGATGAACAGAAATCCTAGAAAATCTGAAAGAAAAAACCCAAAAGTTTACCTTGATTTTTCCAAGGGTTACTGGATTGTACTTGCTTGATAGCAGAAATCTGGGGCAATGCTGAGGAAAGATGCTAGATGCCTTTTTATTTTCCCAATTCCTATAAACTAGTTCACAACTTTTTTTTTATTATTTTCTCATTGGCTAGTTGAGAACCTACCAGGGTATTTGGTGGGGTTTGTTTGTTTGGGTTTGCTGTTGGTTTTTGGTGGTGGTGTTTTCTTTTTTTTTGATACCATTATTGATACTGCAAGCTATAACAGAATATTACTTGTTTTTATCAACTTCAAGTAGTTAAATTCATATGTCTGCCTTATATACCCTGCCTCAGCCAGTCATATTTTTTCTTAATAGAATAGAGAAAAAGGACATCAAACTGAGTCATGTTGTTTATAGTTGCTTAGTGTTGCCACCAAGACTCTGCTACATGAGTCAGAAAACAAGTTGAGTTTCAGGCATCTTAATCATATAAACATTAGGCAGCTGAAAGAAAGGACCATCTAACCCAGAAAACCTCTGCAAGTGAAAAGTATTTTTCAAAAGAACAGATTAAGCTTTAGAAAGTTGGTGCTGCTCAGGAGTTGAGTAGATAACCTAATCTGTGGGCATTTGGAAAAATCTATTTCTAAGGAGTTTTGTGTAGAGGAGCATGTGAGACTTCTGCTCCAGCATATCCAGGAGAGAGGAAGGAATACCCATGAGACTTAAAGGCAATATTAGAGCTCAGGGGCTGTGATGTCAGGCTGCACTTTGCACTTCTGCTAACACGAGGTGACGAGTCAGGAGTTTATCTATAATACATGTGTGAGCACAATAGGCACAATAGCAGGAAAATAATGGAGCAGTGTGCACAATAGCAGGAAAATAATGGAGCAAACTATGACAGGAACTGTGTGTGACCAGTACTGGTAACAGGATGAAAGTCTAGAATTTCTGTAGTGTCACCTACTTGATTCTGGTAGTGTACACGAAAATCCTAAGGAACTGTCTATCCAAAATAGTAATAAATGCACTTAAAATTTTTCTATAGTCATTTAAAAATCTTGAGTCACGTTAAATGTTTTTTGAGTATGGTCTTAAACTGACCTGCCTAAAATTGAAAGAATAAACTTGTACACTGGAAGCTCTTACAAAATTCCTTTCAAAAAAAGAAAAAAAAAAAGCATATTTCGGCAATTATATCTCTTTTCCAGGAAATAATCTATCACTCAAGAAAAACAAGAGTTGAACTCAAGCTTTTTTTCAGGATCTGCTGTGTGTGATTCTAAAATTAGTGCCTGCTATATTTTGGTATATCAGTTCCTGACATTTCTAGTGAACAACTGCAAGACAACATTTTCTTTTTAGGAACTAGATAAATTTGCAAGCATTTGGTAGAATATTCTCTTGTGTAATCACAGCCCAGTTCTTTGGAACCAAGATACTGGAAAAATCTGAAAATATCTGTGAATCTGAGTTTTCAAAGACAGTTTATAAAAATCTGTTCTTTGGCTGTCTGAAGAAAGCTTAAATTTAGTACAAAAGAAAATTCCCTGTGATCATACTTGTTGCCAAACGAATGGTATACATTGAAAGAAAAAAGAATGGGCTAAAATAGATTCGTGGGGGGAAAAAACATCAATGGTTATGTAAATCTGAACTTCACTTGCAAGTAGTTAAAGTCATTGAATATAATGGCCAAGTTTTTAGAAGGATATGTATTTCTACAGGGAAGAATTGTTATTTTTGTTTAGGCTGTAGTTAACTTCTTTTTAAAACTAATTTAGGAGTAAGGGAAAGATGTTAAAAATATCTCTTATTTGTAACTTAGACATGTTTCTCTATCTTTAACCTCAATTCTCTAGGGGCTTGTTCAGGGGGGTTTTTGTTGGTGGATTTTTTTGATTGGTTGCTTTGTTTGGTGTATGTGGGGGTGGTGTGTGTGTGTGTGCTTGGGTTTTTTGTGCTGTTCAGATACGTGGCCCTGGCCCCAGAGGAAAAAAAAAAACAAACTTGTTTTTGTTCTTGTTCTAGATCACATATCGACTACGGTATCTCCTCCGAGCAAGGTGTGATCCTTCCCCAGTGACCAACAATACCATCCAGTTCCACTGTGATCCCAGCTTCTGGGCTCAGAATATTTTCAATCTAGGTATGATAATCTTTTATTAGCCCTTTGGTGTCCTAATCCTGTTTTGAAAGCAGCTTTCTTTTTGTGATTATAGCCTCTACAGTATTCATTTCTTTATTTACTCTGTTAAATGTATTTCCCTAACTGTGAAAAACACTGAAAGTGCACTGCATGGGGAAAAGTATTATTATGTAAAGTATTAACAACCTTATCTTGTTTGAATGTAGATGTGATGGTGAAAACAGCAGCTTTCAGTTTTCTGGTCAATACTTCTAATACCTCAACCCTTCTGGCTTTTGAAACAAGGAACACAGTTTTTAACCCTATTTGACATCCAGAGAAAGAGTTCCTGCTGTCAACCAGCACTCCCAGGTCCTTTCCCATGGGACAGCTTTCAGCCACAATGATAAGCACCCTAAGAACTCAACAGCTTAGCAGGAGGACTTAAAGGTTTTAGAAGTCTTTCAGGATTTTGACTGCTGTGCTTCCTTTCCTTTCTGCTGTTATCTTAGTGGGCATTTTCATTTTTCTGTCATGTGCAGAAAGCTTTGTGAGATATCTGTGGGGCATTTTCTGCCTTTCATCAGAAAGTGCTCTCTCAGTGTACAGAGGTGTAAATGTATGATGCTCTACAATGTCAGAAGAAGAAAGTGTTATGGCAGTTCTTTAAGGCAAACAAGCTCCTTTTCCCAGATGTGAGGACATTGGATGGTAGCAAGAAAATTCTCCAATTCCTTCTTTATAAATAATTTTCTTAGAGACAGGAATGAAAAGTGAAACATGTTTCCAGAAATCAGCTGTCAGGTTGTATGGTGATAACTCTGAACTGCTGCTCAGCTGAGATGTTTGTAATGAGCTGACTTTTTCCTGTGTTTGGTGAGCTCTTTTTCTTGTGTATGTTTATTTAATGAACTTCTGAAATAATGGTCCCTTACATTCTGAAAAGTGGTACAGTAGAAATGGCACCTGTATAGATCAGCACTGGGGTTCTTGTAAGAGTTTAAGTGATAGATAAAACCAATTCATGTTTATCTATCTAGTTTCAGATAGAAACTTTAGGCCATTTTGTTTATTATCAGACATGTTCAATTTCTGTAGGTAAGCTAGATATAAGAACCAGTGAAGAAAAATAAAATAAAGTCTGAGTAAAGGAACAAGTTACTTCAGAAATGTTTTGGGTTGTAGTCAGACTGCATGTCACTGACCGTGTGATGGCATTTCTGCTAACTGCCACACTTCAGTGTTGATTTTATTTATTTTGGTTAAAATAGGTTCTTTGGTCATTGAAGATAAGGAAACTCCACCACATATGCCCAAGAGCCCTGTGATGGAACCAAGCTTACAGCCACCAGGCAGCTTACCTCCCAACCAGCTCTCCAAGTTCCCCACGCAGATCAGCTTAGCTCAGCTCCGCCTGCAGCACATGCAGCAGCAGGTCATGGCCCAGAGACAGCAAGCTCAACGTAGAGCAGGACCAGCAGTTCTGCCAAACTCAAGAATGCCAGGAGCCATGCAACAGCCTCCTGCTTCTCATCAGGTAAGTTAGGACTGTTTTCAGAATCTCTTTTTTCCATGGCACTGAGGGAGAAAGTCAAGTAAAATAGGAAAAAAAGCAAAGAACTGAAATCTAGGTACATAACTTCAGATATCATTATCTTCAGCACGTGGCTGTGTAGATGGTTTAGAGGACATTTTCTTTACTGAGATATGAATGGGCATTTTAAACTGGCCTTGCAAATGTGTGGTAGCACCCAGCCTATATTTATTCTTTAAAAAAATAAAATCTTGTTGTATTCAGCCATATACAGTGCTTAGCAACGTTTTTGTGTTTTTGTCAAGTGATCAAAAGTTAATGTCGTTAATTTTTTTTTTGCTACATCTATTTTGTATAATACCCAATGATTCTCTCATATATCTTTCAAAGTTGGAAACACTCTTCAACTCCTGTTATGTCTCTTCATATATTAAAATAATTCAAAACTGTCTACTAGGTTTTAACATTGACATTAATGCTTTTGGTCATTCAGATAAATGGTGTGGTGATATTAGTTTGCATATAATTTATGAGGAGTTTCAGAAGTTTAAAAGGACCATTTAATAAAAAAATGTGTGGAATATAGAACAGATCTCAGCTAACTTGTAGAACTGTTTTTATTATTTTTGTTATGCAGGCACCTCCACGCTTGATTCATTTTCAGAATCATAATCCCAAGCCCAATGGTTCAGCTCTTTCTGCACAACAGATGAGATTTCCCCAAAATCAGAATCTACCGAGGCCAGCAGTAAAGCCCAACCCATTGCAAATGGCATTCTTGGCACAGCAAGCTATAAAACAGGTAGAGTCTCTTTCCCTTTTCACTCTCCCATTTAGAAATTCAACATCAAATGTGCCGTATATCATCTTTTCTACAATATTTCTAGAGTACTTTTCAGTTAAAACAGAGACTGAGTTATTTTTCTATGACAAGATACCCATGGTTTTCTTAGTGAGGTTACTGTCAAGTTGCTTTTATTTTGACAGTTCTAAGCAGCTGAAGCATTAGGGAGGTGAGCCACTGTGTGTGCTGTGCAGGTGTTTCATTCTCTTACTTGCTGCTGCTGTGGTTTCTGACCACTTAGGCAAAAATTAGTGTGGCCATGGTCTGCAGTCAGTGAGGAGACAAATGAGAAAATCCCAGTTTAGTGACTTGATGATAGTGACTTCACCAGGAACCAGGTAAAACCTTAACTAAAAAGCTAGAGCTGTCATGGTTCCCCAGAGTATGGCAAATCTGAACTTTTACAGGTGAGGGGAAAAAAGAGAGTGCACAATTGTGGACCCTCTGCTGAGTGAGACTGATCAATGCCCGGGCTGATCAGCAGCTGAACTGGAGCAGAAGCAAACACACCATGTGTGTTCTGGGTGTTTAGGAGGCTCATCTTTACTAAAATCATATTATTACCACACGAGTTTGTGGGAGCAGGTAAGCAGGAAAGAATCAAACGAATCTGAAAAGTGGGGTCATACCAGTTATGTTTGCAATGCTTATGATATCAGAGAAGTAATTTCAACTAAATGGAAGAAAGCTATGCAATATCTAAGAGAACTTTTCAGAATAAAAAGTAAGTCACTTCTGTTCTGTGCCTCTGAAAAGAAGACTGGCCTGTCTACAAGCCTTTCTTTAAAGATACCTCATAATTCAGTGATGACTTTCTGAAACTAGGGGCCAGTAAGTAGAAAGACTGACTAAAAAGGAATTGAGCAGATTCAGATTTTGCCTGCAGTTGCCAGGAAATTCCATTAAAGTCATTGAAAACCGCATACATCTAAATGAGAAAAAAATTTGGTCTGACTTGACTGTGCACTTCATATTATGATGTTAAATGTGTATGTGGCTGGAGATACAGTCAGCATTTCAAATTCTTAATGACTTTTTGTCATTAAGGGAAGCACAACATCAAAGACTTCAAGGCATCCAGGTGACACTGTAGCCATTTATTTGGTAAAGCACTGGAGCAGTTGTGCATTCAGCCTATTACCTGTAATGCTTTTATTTCACAAAAACTGTTACATTTCTTCCACAACACTGTCAATGAAGCATGAAATATTAATAGATACTTAACACTGAGGTATAGCTTTGAATTTAAGAATTTGCATTCATTTCTTCTGTTCATAGTTTTCAACTGCTTGTCATCTTCCATTGTGAGACTGATTCTTGAAACGAGAGAACTCCAGAGTAAATCAGCATTTTATGTTTGAATTCAGCTTCCTGAACTAAGCTGCTGTTTTTATCAATACATTCAGTAGATGTCACCTGTTGCAAAGAAAAAAAATTGCTGAACTGTAGATTTTTCTCTCTTCTTTTTAGTGGCAGATCAGTAGTGGACAAACTTCAACCACCCCTTCAACTGCAAGCAGCACAACATCGACTCCATCGAGCCCCACAGTCACCAGTGCTGCTGGGTGTGATGGGAAGAGCTACGGCCCCCCCGTGATAGATTTGAGCTCCCCAGTGGGTAGCTCCTTTAATCTGCCATCTCTCCCTGATGTAAGTGTAACACAGAGACAATGTTTTATGGATTCTATTTTGAAGTCTTAATGTTTGTGAGAAATTGAAACCTTTTAGACTGAAATTCTGTTTGTCAAAACAGGTCTAGGAAATAAACAATGTGGAGTTGCCTGCACTTTGCTGAAAATACTCAGAACTGTTCTGGGAGACAGCTGTTAGGACAACTAAGAAAAACAGGATTACAAGTTGTAATTGTAATTGGACTTGTTTATTTGTATGCTGCATATTTTTCTGCAGCCCTCATAATGATCCATACAAAAATGTGTTAGCTTAGCTTTCATTTACCAGTGTCCATAGACAGCAGTGGTTTGCTGATGGCATTTCTGGTAGATTTTTAACATTTGAAAAAATCTATTTTTAACTTATTGAAAGAGAGCTATCTTGGGTAAGTATTAATGGTCAGCACACTGAATATATTCCTTATATCGTTTCCTTTTGATACTTCTTTTCTTCATATATTCTCTGACATGTCTTTGAACTGGTCATAGAAAGAGCACAGTAAGATCATAATTTCTTAACCTTCTAAGCTTCTCTTTTATAGTTTCTTCTGAATGGTACACGTTTGCCAGAGGTCCATGTTGGAGTTAGTGAGTTTTAGTCAGGTGACTTTATTTTTCCACATAACTGCCTAACCTGTATTTTGTGGTCTAAGGTTTGTAGCTATCTGAAGTGTCATGGTTTTCTAGTCATAGCTTGCTGTTACTTCCTTTTTCTCCCATCTGTGCTTTGTTTTTACCTACATACTGTGTGTCCCCTTTATTAAAATGGAATACATGAACTACAGAATCACAGTATCTGCTCGGACTAAAAGGGAGAGCTACACAACATGCTCATAAAACTACTGAGTCTGTGAGACATTTTAGCATATTTATTTCTGTGCACAGTATTGTGAACTTTTCTACTTGTATGTGATTGAGTTTATGCTTTTAAGATAACATGGCACAAATCACTGTGAATATGCTGACCTTGCCAAAGCTCTGCATCCACTTTGGATACATCTTATCAAACATTATCTTATATATTGGAAGAAACCAAACATTTCAAAAAGTCATTCCTCCTTATCAAACAAGAACATGTAGTTTTTACAGAAAGTTAGAATGCTGCTTTGGGAGCCCCTAGAATAAAGTTCAGTTATCTGGGCTGAGCCATGGTGGAATGAACAAGTATTGGTTTGCTGTTTCCATTTTAAGTCAATATGCATGGCTCCTGTCCAGAGGGTATGTGGGACAGATGGGATTGAGTGTCCTTTGAGTTTCTTCCAGTCCTGTTAAACACCAGTGGATTAAGGGGTAGTTTGTGTATAGGTATTATCTTTTTGAGAATATTTAATGTGAGCATGTCCAAAGAAGGTGTGGAGATAAACTTAATGTGTGAAAGCTCCCTGTTTGATTTAAGCCTTCTCTGTAGCCTGTGAAGAAAAATTGGCACTTAGAGAATCATCTGCTCTTAAAATGAAGCACTGTCTGGATTTGGCTATTTCATTTTCTTTTTAGGGAAAGCAAGATGATAGGTTTTAAAAAGTAATCTCACTTTTGGATGGGTAAACTTTGGTGAAATGCATTTTGGTCTTTGCTTTCAAAATAACGGTGTGGGAGAGGCTTTTTCATTTTGTTTGGTTTCTGTTGTTTTGGAGGGGGTTTTTTCCCTTCCCAACACTAAATTGCTTCCCTTTGCTTCCCCACCTTTTAGATTGATTGTTCAGGAAACATCACGCTGGATAATGCTGTAAGGAAGGATGGCACTGTAGAGCAGAATCAGCCAAAACCCCCTTCAAACAGGACTGTGCAGTCACCAAATTCCTCAGTACCATCACCAGGCCTCTCAGGTAATTAAATGTGGTTCAATTTTCTATTTAAGTGGTGCAATTGAAAAATCTAATGTGGCAAGGTTAACTCCGACATCAGAATTAATTCTGTTCTATCTTAAAGATGAGAGATGAGAAAATTAAGGCAAAATTGTAGAAACCCTAGTAGGAGGTAGAGTTAATATTTTAGCATTGTGATCAAAAGTTAAGTATCTAGATCTTAAAAACAGAGAGGGGAAAAAAAAGGGTAGATTTTAGCAAATTGGATAGAAATCCACAGCAAAGTGACATGCTCAGGTGTACCCCAGATGAAAACCTAGCAGCTGTGGTAAGAGACAAGTATTTGAGGAAGTGAGATAGGATGTAACAGCAGAAATGGTGCCTTGGGTGAGTAGTGCAGCACTGACACTGGATGACCAGAGAAGTTCCTGTGGTGGGTGTCTGAATGTGGTGGCCCTGGAGGATCCAGGGGATTCCTGTCACCATGCTGCTGGCCCACAGCAGCTGTTCCTTGCTCCCATTTTCTGAGCTGAGCTGTGGGAAGGCTGTGAGTGGGAATTCCCAGGGAACACTCATGCCATGTTGATGCACTCACGTGGTGGTCCCAGATTGTGGCAGGGTAGCAGAGACAGCAGCAGGGCATTCACAGGCAGCACAAACAGCCCCCTCAGGCTTCCTAGGGCTGCTGCTCACAGTGTGCCTCACAAAGCTTTTGGCTCCCTGAGCCCCAGACCTTTGGTCTCCCTCATATCTGTCCCCCAGACTTCTTCCGGCTCAAAGTTTCCTGGCAGTTCTCCTGCGAGATCTGCTCGAATTTAGTAAGATAAAACTGCCTGAGTGATCAGGTGGAGAGGTCAGCCAGGCAAAGGTACTCACCCATCAGCCTCTTGCTTCAAGTAATGGCCCCTTTCTTAGTCCTCTCTTCCCCTCTGTTATCCCATGCCTCTCATCCTTTCATGGAAATGTACTAAGTGAGATATTTCTCACTGCATGAGAAATTTTCCCCAAAACGTGTGTACTTCTCTGAGTCGTATCTCAGACTTGGCACAGACCTGTGTTCTGTTCTAATCTGATCCTTCTGTCCTAGGAGGAATCAGTGTGACAAATGTACACCCTCCAATTCGTTCACCCAGTGCCTCCAGTGTTGGGAGCAGAGAGAGGTAAGGAAAGAGTGTGAGAGAAGAAAATGTAACTTCCACCTCCACAGAACATGCCTCAGTCTCTTCTCTCTTTAATACATAAAGATGTCGATTTGTCTCACCTTCTCTGTTAACAGGTCAGGCCTGATGGTTGTTTCAGCACTCTTTGCATTCTAAAAGCAGTAATTTCATTTGTAATGTATTAATAGAAAATCTAAAGATGTATTGACTCTATAAATGATGGCTAGGTTGGCGTTATTAAAAGAATACCATTTATAAATTAGGTTTTAAGTTCAGAAAAATCAGCTAAAGGGAAAAGCTGCATATTAAAAGCCCTTGTGGAACTATAAATTACTTCAGATTTAAGGAACTGATGTTACAAAGAGGGTTATTAAGAATTTTCTCCTGCAATACAGTTAAGTGAGCACTAGATATCTACTGAGAGTCTATACAAATGTTTTTATCCCTTACTGATGGAATATTAATGAACAAATATATTTACACAGTGTTGTTTGAAGAGTGCAGATCCGTTAATGCATTGCAATAAATTAGAGCATACATGAGACATTAATTTTTCATGCAGAGAAAAATCAGATTACATTCATCCTACTTGAGTTAGGAATGCAGGTGCTTTTTAATCTAGAATACCTTTTGCTCTATTCCATTTACATGGTAAATTCTGTGAAGGACTCTTATGAACAGTTTAAATGGTTGTTTGAAGAGTCTTTACTTGCATTTAAAATAGTAATTAGATATGCTGCTGCTTGAGTTCATTTTGTTAGATTTAAATTCTTCACTTTATTAAAAAAGATGAGCAAGTATTTTAAAGTTTAATTATTCATTCTCATCCTGTAAGTACTAAATACATGAAAAAATACAGATCTAGTTCTAAAAGTAGTGTCCAAGTTTTGGTAGAGCTGCAAAGCTCTAAGAGGTTTTCCAAGATAATGTAAATATGTGTTTTATCTGCCTTATTTGGTTGTATGGTTTAGAATGTTCAGTGGAGGTGCTTTTTTAAAAGAAATGGAGATTATTTGCAAATTTTGCATTAATGGGTCAAACCATGACTAATTCTCTAATTTTGGGGTTGTACCATTAAAATTTTCCCATTTGGTAATGCCTCAGTATACATCAAAGGAAATAAGCTTAGGTGTTGCATTCCATAAAGGGAATACTACTCAGGATTCAAAGAAACAAAGTAGATTAACATCCTGAGGTCTTGAAAAGCATCAGTGTACAAAAGGTGTCCAGCTCTGACTCCTAATTTCCTTCTTTTCCTGCCTCTTCGTGTCATTTACAGTTCTGGCTCCTCCAGCAGGCCACCAGGAGCTGACTCTACACACAAAGTCCCTGTTGTTATGTTGGAACCGATCAAAATTAAACAGGAGACAACTGCACCAAACGAGAACTTTGATTTCCCAATTGTTGTAGTGAAGGAAGAGACAGAGGAGGAATCCCGGCCTCGGAATGTAATGTTTACAGCTAGAGAGATCTCCTTTCTCTTTGGAGGGTATTTTGTATTTATGGGGACTAAAATGATTTACTTGTATTCTCTTGGGAACTGTTTCAGGGGAAAACTAAAAAGCTGAATAAAAGGAAGAGGTGAAATTGAAAAGCAAACTAGCCCTACTGCCAGTGAAATTAAATTCTGTGATCAGACTGCTTTTATCCATTGAAAACCAGGGAGATCCTGTAATAACTTGCAGAGATAAAATTTTCAGGTACTGCTAGGAAGTGTTTCCAGTCATAGTGCAGGAATATCCATGAACAAGGTACTGGATTTTTGGGCAATCAGATTAATTTTTTACTGATGGAGCAGTAAATACAATAACTGTGCTAGTAATTTCTGCATGTAAGTTGTATGGCTGCTGGCATGTAAATCTGTCATTCAGGTCAGTGTGCACGTTGTTAGGGTCACGTAAATTCACATAAATACTGAAATCTGACTTCCTTTGTTTCTTCCTGCAGTCCATACTTACTTCCTTGCTGCTGGATACCAATCACAGTTCCACTTCTGATGAAGCTATGCTAAGAACAGATGCACCAGACAGCACAGATGACCAGCCAGGGGCACTGCAGGAGAACACATTCCCTGGGAAAACAGGATGGATGGGATCCTCCCATGGTAGCGAGGGCAGGAAAGAGGATGATCCCAATGAAGATTGGTGTGCTGTATGTCAAAATGGAGGGAAGCTCCTTTGCTGTGAGAAGTGTCCCAAAGTATTCCATCTTTCTTGTCACGTCCCTACTTTGATGAGCTTTCCAAGGTAATTATTGACTATTTCAATTCCATCTAAAATTGCACTAAAAGACTTTAGACTTGCATTGTGAAACCCAGGATAAGAAATTTGAGTCTCAGAGGAAGAGCAGTGTTTTCTTTAAAGTCTTGTGTCCAGCAGTTATATTAGTTGGAGAAAATCTGAATTTTCATGAAACTTCAGCTTAATTGTGTATTCTTCTACAAAATCTAGCAAAACTCTTCACTTACTTGACAATTAAGCAAGATCACCTCTAGGGCATCTATTATTAAAACTGGGACACAGAATTACTAATCTGTCATAAAATGTTTTAAGGGTGACTGAATGTATTTCTTAATAACAATGCTCTTAAAAAAATATATTAAGAAATGTCTACAGGAAAAATCTGAATTAATATAGCATTAAATATATTACTTCCGTGCTAAACATGGCTACACTCCAAGCATGGGATGTGTAGTGACTGACATATTTTATAACATCTCAGTGTTGAAACAAGCATTAAGCTTTCTTGATTGGCTGTTACAAAACCATTGCTCAGTTTCTTGACTTTCAAAATAGAGTCTTAAATAGATTGTTGTTATAAGCATTACCAGCGTTTGCTTCTGGAATTAGTGTCTTTGATTAGAATAAAGAGCATTTTGCAATGCCCCAGCTTGGAAATGTCATAGAATAAGCTTGTTTGTATTAAAGGATAAAAACATTGGTCATAACATGCTCATTGGTTAATGCTTCTATAAATAATAGGTTTTCTGATTAAATATCAGCGTAGTTTACTGGTGTAAAACATTTGGATAGCAACTTAGTTTAGCACATTGATCATCTCTGCTACTCTGAACAGGCATACTTCTGGAGGTATATCTTTCTTTTCGCTGTCACTTGAAATGGCACATTAAAATGTTTCTCTTACTTTTTGAAACTTCAAATTCCAGGTTTGTTTTTTTTTTATCATAAACAATGCTATGTTACACCTTTATGCCATAAGGAAAACCAGTAAGGTTACAGTAAGCATTTAAATTAATAAATTTCCTTTTTGGCAAGGAAACAAAAAGTAATCTTGAAGCAGGTAGATAACTATGCATTACAAGACTTGGTTTCTTTTAAAATTAAGTATTTAATAACAAGTCTTTAAAATGCTTAATTTTTACTTGATCATTCGTTGGAAACTGAGGTAATGATGTGTGAGGGCAAGGGAGCCAAAAGCCACTTTGCTGGCAGGTGTGTTTGAAGGAACTAATGCCAAGAGACTGAAGTTTCCTCCTGACTTCTGATGTATCAGGTTTTTGTTTTCATCTTTGTGGGGTTGCTTGCTTTTTTTTTCCCCCAGCTTTTGTCTGCCAAACAAACTTCAGTCTCTTGGCATTAGTTCCTTCAAACACATAAAATAATTTTGTTATTATCATGTCAGCAGTGTCGGTCTGCTGCTTTCGTGGTTGCTATTTGTTCCTGTTTCAGGTAGATAGAGCAATTTGAGGGGTTCATAGAGTCACAGGGTGTTTTGGGTTGGAAGGGACCTTTTAAGGCCCTCTAATTTGAACCCCCCTGCAATGTTTAGGGACATCTTCAACTAGATCAGGTTGCTCAGAGCCTCATCCAACCTGGCCTTGAATGTTTCCAGGGATAGGGCATCCACCACCTCTCTGGGCAGCCTGTGCCAGTGTTTCACAGTCCTCACCTTAAAAATCTTTTTCCTTGTATCCAGTCTGAATCTACCCTCATTCATTCTAAAACAATGTTCCCACATAGATTCCTAAGGTCAGGGCATATTCTTTCCTTCATTCCAACCTACTATATTCTTCCTGATTCTTGGACATCTTAATGCATCAGTCTTTAATCTATTCCTTGTTTTCTTGTATCACAAGATCTTTAGGTTGTGGCCTGTGTCAATCGTTGTGTATCTGCCACATCATTTCTGTAAGGCTAGTCCAGGCACAGAGGTGACACTGTCATAAATCATTCTGTGAGGCTAAGACAGTAGAAAGTAAAACTTCTTGAAGCAAAATGCCCATCATTCACCACTGCATGCTAGAACTGGCAGATAGTGAAAATCTTTGGATCACTCTGAATAGAAAACAGCAAGATTTTCTTTTTACATTTGTGAAGTCTTCTGCTTTACTACTGAAATGAAATAAAGGGTGCTGCAGAAACTATTTGCCATTTATGAGGACACTGTTTATAATAACATACCTCTGGTAAATAGATGCAGTTGATCCCATAACTAGTTACTGCTGGATTCTGTCTGTTGTGTGACGATTCAGCCCTCTGGTGGTTATCTGCAAAAGCATGCAGGTTTCTTTTTTTTTGGAGAGAACTATATTAAAAACATAGACTCTTCATAGTTTCTTCAAAACTTTTACGTTCATAAATTGTGTTCAAAAATCAGTGCACATAGCTTGCAAAACTAACTCTTATAATCTTATGCTGATGTTTAAATCTCCAATATTGTCTTATACAAACTGGTAAAATCATATGAAAGTTCCAGGGAGTTAAATATTTTCAGTTTTACAAAGAATCCTGTCTATGGTAATCTCTATGGATAGGCAATGTATTGTAGATCGAGCTTGTAGAGGGTATGTAGTTCTCACCACACAATATTAACCCTTTTCCTTCTGTTCAGCCCACATGACTCCTTCAGTCTCTCTGTAGTTAGGGTTGTACAAGGCTCTTCATAGTGCTAACCTTAAATCCTGTGAGCTTAGGTGAAAAAATTCAGTATTGACAAAAGTAGAGACCATCTGTCTACCTTTCTGCTAGGACACCATTAGTGACATCAGTGCCACTAAAAGGAAACAAAGTTGTAGCAAAGCATTTTTGCCAGCTGTTGCAGGCTTTTGTACCACCACCAAGAAAACAGAGATGCAGAGAAAACCCACCCCACAGATGAGGGATTTACTCAGAAATATGTAGAAGGCCTTCTGGTAAAGGAGTGCTCCCTCACTGAGGTCAATGTGTCTGTTTGTCTTCTTTAGTGGAGAGTGGATTTGTACATTCTGTCGGGATTTGTCCAAGCCAGAAGTTGAATATGACTGTGATAAACCTGCTCACAGCTCCGAGAAAAGAAAATTGGAAGACACCGTGGGTTTGGCACCCATAGATCGCAGGGTAAGGATAAAATTATTATTTAAAACCTTTAAGCTGATGCAGTTTTGAACTTTGTTAGAAACTTTTGTCAGTGTTTTACCTGTTTTCAGTCAGCAACTTGTGTAAATAACACTGAAATTACTATTTTATTTGGGGTCTTAGTCTACATGTAGAACCATTTGTGGAAGAGTAGTAGAGAGAAGACTCCCAGGTTCATGACACTGGTTAAACAGGGGATTATAATGAGATTTATTGCTAACACAGTATGTAAATATTGCCAATGCAGTGTATCATATAAGCAGGTCTGAAGGGCTAGAACATGGACAGGTTCAGCTGGAAATTGCAGGTTTGCAGAAAGCACAATTGCAAAGCAGCAAATCACCCACAGAGCTACTTTAGGATTTTATCTCCACCTGTTACTCACCTGTCCAAAGCTGAGTGTTCCCATCCTCGTGCTGGTTGTATCCTGCTGGGGTGGGATCCACCTGGAAGCTGCCCTGCAGCCTCAGGAGGTCAGTTTGCCCAGCTGGCCCAGTCTCCAGGAGATTTTGTACCCTTCTGCAGGCCCGTGGCTACCAAGAGCAATCACAACCATCACCACTCCCTCACCTCTGGAATACATTAATTATGCAAGCATCCAGACACTTCCTCCTGCAATTCCCACCTGGTGTTCTTATCTTAGGACAGATCATATTGCCCATCAAGAGCAGTGTGTATGTGTGTGGAGGACAGACTCTCTCACACTATTATTTACATGTGCTCTATTTCTATTTTGCATTAAGTGTAAGTTCTATAAGCCCTGTAAAGATTCTGGTAAGGAATCAGCAAGCATAAAATCACACAGAAGTCTTTTTAGGATCTCTTTCAAGGCTCAAGATCCAGTTTAATGTATTTGTATATACAAAGAAAACTGTGAATACCAAGTTCTGTATTTTCTGTAGTTTGTGATTTTAGAATAAGCCATGTAGGATTCCTGAATCATTTGGGTATCTATTTTTCTTGACACAGAAGTGTGAAAGACTGCTGCTATACCTCTACTGTCATGAAATGAGTCCTGCCTTTCAAGATCCAGTTCCCCCCACAGTATGTACCTCACTTCTTTCTATTTTATGTTAGCAGCCTATTTGCCAAGTGTTTCAAATGGCATTCCAAAGTCCATTACCATAAGTCAAATTCCACAGACATTAAGTGCATTAAACATGTTTAGTTTTAGTCAAACTGTCTGAAGGGAGAAGTTAAAGCATTGGTTTGGCAGGGGATTTACAAGTCAAATGCCACAATAACTGATTCTACTTAATACTTCAAAAATAGTTACAGAAAGTAAGTTCTAACACTCCTAACTTCATATCCTGAGTTACATCACTGAGAAGGTAAATTGGGATATATTTGAGGGTTTTAAATATTATTTTGAGAATTGGGGTACTCCATAGTACTAATATGAAACTGAATTTCTTACTGAGTTGAAATTTGTTAGTTTAAATTGGTAAGCAGTACCTGGGTGCATTAGAAGTCCAAGGACACAAAGAGCTACCACCGTGATCAGATGAAAAGATGTTCTTCAAAACAAGTCAGTTGGGAAGGACAAGTCAATGGGGAAAGAGTTCATCAAAAAGTAGTATGTTCCTTTGCAGCCTTTATTCCATTTGAATAAGAATTCTGAAGAACATTCCACAGAGTTTAATAATAAGAAATGGCACAAGAGATTAATTGATTATTCATATTATGGTCATGTGTTACTAGATTCAGGTATTAAAAACATGGATCTAGTTAGGAGAAAGTAGGAAAAAATACAAATACATTACCACTGGCTTTCATTCTTATTTACTTTCTTATTATTTCTAAAGAACAAAAAATCTTAATCTTACAGCCACAGTTTGGGTATGAAAACCATTGATATATCTGAAATTTGCTACCATTTCAAAGGACTTACTTCATATGGTGGTCTTGAAAACGAAACTTAATAGATAGCTGATTTGACTACACCTGAAAATAATGTCCAAACCAACTCATTGGGCGTATTATATGTTGTTAGTGGAGGTTTTATGTGTTTCTCTTTGATTTTAAAATAGGCATTGGAAAGAGTATATTTTAGCCAACAAATTGTCATACAGCACTGTTATTCCAGAAACTGTCTGCACATATGTTAACAGTGCAATTCTTGTATCTTTGAGTTGTACTTTTAAGATGAGACTAAATCTTGCTCACTCCCTCAAATCTCAAGGTTTTTAAAACAATTGCATTTTGGACTTCTTTTTCTCTGCTTAGGTCCCTGATTACTACAAAATAATCAAAAAGCCTATGGACTTGTCAACCATCAAGAAAAGACTTGAAGTGACCAATTCATTCTACACAAAGCCAGAAGATTTTGTGGCTGATTTCAGACTGATTTTCCAGAACTGTGCTGAATTTAATGAGGTTAGTAAAGTAGATACTTTATCAAGTTTTGTTGGCTTAGTTGCTTTCAGGAAAACTGTAATGGGGGTATAACTTAAAACACAAGTTCTCTACTTATTGTCGTGAACTTACTTTGATGATGAGACTGCAGTGAGAACACAGATCAGATTTGGCACTGCTGTGATCTGAGATAACTCTGCAGTGGAGATCTTTCCATAGAAGGGAGGAGGATGGTAACAAGTATAGCTGAATGGCAGGACAGCAGCTAAAAGCAAAGGACAGTTTTTCACCATACAGGTTAATGGTGGGGACTATGATCTAAAAATTGGTTTAGTCCTCCTTGCTTCAGATCTTAAATTCAGTGGGATTTTCATTCTGGGGGCTCTGTACTCACCCTTATTTCAAGTTGCATGTTAAGTAATTGTTATTATCCCCTACTGCACATAAGGGAACACATTGTGAAATAGAGATGCAGGTTCTGAGTGGACCACAAAATGAGAGAGAATTACAGTGGGAATAAAGGCTTCTGCCAGTGGCCTCTGTGGGGTTCTCATCCAGTCACCCTTGGAAGGAATTACTCCTACACTGGTGGTCTCTGCTTCAGGAAACTGATAGCTGTGGTGGCTGTGGGTAACTTCAGGACTGCTCAGTCTTCCACATTACAGTCATTGTCTACCAAGTCATATTTTTACTGTTACTAAAAAGATCTGTAAGCTAGCGAAGTTTATAACACCCTGAGGGCCTATCTGTGTGACTCAACAGCACAACACAAATCTGTCCCCCTGCTCCCACCCCAGTTAGGATTTAAGAGTTCTTACAATCTTTGTATAGCTTTGAGAACCCAGGCAGTGTGACTTTTGTGGCTTCTATGGTCACCTGTCAGAGACAAAAATCATTGGGGGTTGTTGGCTGGAAGATCTGCCCTCCCTCCATGTTTTTGTGCTCTTTGGGGCCATCTGCTCCATAGCCATTCTTGCTGCTGAGTTGAGTGATGGTTTTTTGTAGTTAGTACCTAAAAGACCTAATGTGATCTAAGTACAGAGCTGTTTCATGATGCACTGATGTTAATTCCCCCAACAGCCTGATTCAGAAGTGGCTGATGCTGGCATGAAACTCGAAGCCTACTTTGAAGATCTTCTAAGCAATCTTTATCCCGAGAGAAAGTTCCCTGTCCAGCCAAGCAGCCAGAGTGAAAAAGATAATCCAGAACTTACTGATGACTCGGATGATGACTTTGTACAGCCCCGGAAAAAACGCCTCAAAGGAGAAGACCGTCAGTTGCTTAAATGAGCCACATGTGTTACTACAGAAAGTTTTTTAAAAACTGAGAATATTTATCACTGGTATCACTGTTTTGACTTGTAGGCTTGTGAATATTTACTAGACTTTCTACCCCCTGTCTGAAACACAAATCTGATGGAGATCAAGGCATGTGAAGAGCTTCTCTGAAGTTCAAACCTTTCATCTCTTTTCTGGAGCAGCTTAAAAATTGCCATTTCTGTGGTGTAACAGCTGTTTAACTTTGCTTTGAAGAAGAAGTTTGTATAGAATTGAACTTCAAAACACAACATGAGTTCAACATGTGGCTTTCTGAGTTTGAAGAAAATGTAATCTCACCAGACTTTTAATTTTACCAAAGGCATATGGCTGGCCATAATTTGATCTCTCTGTACTGTATTTAACACAAGCCATGAAAAAAGATGGTGTAACGTTATTGTCCTGTGATTACTGATTGGTATAATGAAAGCCTAGTTGCCCCAACAAAGCTATTGGAAATTTTAAAATGTAAGGGAGAGGGTATTAAAAATAACTTTAAAAAAAAAAAAAGGAAGAAGAGGAATTTGTGTTTCTAATGGAGGAAGTAAAGGACAGAATATTTTGGTTTGCACCATTTTTCTCACCACCAGCAGCAAACAATGGTGTTTCTGTACTGTTTTGTTTAACAGGTGTCTCAACTGTGATGTACCTCTGTTTAATGAAGTTGGTGGGAAAGTCTTGAGTGGAAAAATGTTTGTTTGCCAAACCAGTCATTTCTGTGAATTTTTAAAGAGGAGAGCAAAAGCATCCTTTCTGTCCACAATCTCTTGTTCTTTTCCCATATTTCTAAATACATCAGAATACAACCAGTATTCACCTGGGAGTACAGAAGTTTGAAGAGAAAGCTGTTGCTCTTCAGCTCTCCATCTGTCCCTGATCACCAGAAAATGAGGGTGAATTTCCTTATTTTGTTCCATCTACTTTCCAGGAGCTCTGACAACAACATTAGGATTGCTTCTGCCCTTGAAGCACATCGCCAGTGGGACCCACCTGTGAAAGCCTTCCCTCAGTTCTGTAGTTCCAGCTGGCTCCCTGAAAAACTCCAAACTAAATCCAAACAAAACGTCCAACTCTAACCTTTCATTTTAAGGCATCTCTGAGGCCTACTGCTTGGGGTTTAGTTTCTATATGAGGGAAGATTCCCTTGGCTTTAACAGTGCTGATGGATGATGTGTCCAGGCTGGAAGGGATTTGGGGTGGGTGGGACGTACCTGGGAGTGTGCAGGAGCTCTGGGAGGTCAGCACCAGGAATTGCTGTCTGAGCCCCTCTGCAAACCCACCCTGCTGACATTCCCAGGTACTGCCAGCTGTTCCTTGGGGTAATTTTGGGGTGTCAGTGGGGTCTGTCCAGGCTGAAGCATCACCAGGTGCCTGCTCAGGGCAGCCCCTGGCCCAGGAGCTGTGGGCAGCCCTTTATCCACATCCATGCCAGCACTGCCCAGGAATCCCAGTGCCCATCCCCGGGATGTGTGCTTGGCACGCTGTGTGCCACGGGCAGGGCACTGCAGGCACAGCTCCTCCCCTGCAAACACCGAGGACAAGAGGTGCTGGTTCCCTTTCTGGGGCTCCCAGCCTCCTCCTGCCCCGCATTCCCAGGCAGCTGGGACACACTGAGGAAACACCAAGGAACGTTCCTGGCAGTGAGTGGCAGTCACTGAGAGCTCCGTGCAGCTCTGGGCCTGAAAGGCAGTGCCAGCCTCAGCTCCTGCTGTGATTTTGGGTTGTGAACACTCACCTGCAGCAAACGCCCCTCTGCAGGCTGGACCAGCCCTGACACTCTCCAGAAGAGCTTTGGCCATGAACCAAGTGAACCCTCAGGACTTGTTCTGCTCATTTCTTCTGGAAAGCGACATGGAATGAGCATTTTTACTACTGTTGGATAAATCCTGAAAAGGGTAGGAAAACAGAGTTATGATAAAAGTTCTTTGCTGTCATGCCAGGCACCGGCCAGTTCTGCTCTAGAGCCATTCTAGGAGCTGGTGTGTAGAGCAGCATTAACAGAAAAGAAGGAGCTGCATTAGCATAAGAATTCCCTTGCTGGCAGCAGCTGTTCCCACCCCAGGCAGGACCTTCCTCATGACCCTGAGATTGGCTCAGGCGCTTGGAGCAGGGTGCTAAGAAGGCCAAGATTCTGAATTCGGTCCCCACATGGGCCAAGCACTTACCACCGTTTGACTTAATGATCCTCCTGGCTCTTTCCAACTCAGAGTCTTCTGTGCTCTGGAAATAAAAAGTAAACCGTTTTCACTGGCTTTTTAAACCCAGAGTTTTTTCCATTGGAAAGTGCGAGTCATAGAGAAAGTGGGGGAGAGGAGGGAGAGCATCAGGTCTCACCCGACAGGTTCCGGAGGAGCGGCTGGAACGGGTCCGAGTCCCGGCGGGGTCCCGGTCCGCACCGGGCACAGCCGGAGCAAGAGTGGCAGCACCAGAGCGGCTCCTCCCGCCCGTGGCGATCCAGCCCCGCTCGTTCCGCGGGGGCGCGGGGAGGGAGAGGAGAGCGGTGCTGGGCCCGGGGCTCGGTTCGGTGCCTCCGGTTCGGTGCCCTCGGGGGTCCCGGGCGGGGCCGGCCCTGCCCAGCAGGGGGCGCTGCGCTCGCACCGCCGCACGGTGTCCGCCAGGGGGCGCCCCACGGGGCGGGCGGCGCTGAGGGAGCGGCGGCGTCGGGGGGTCCCGGGGCCGGCACGGGCGGTCCCCGCGCCCCGCCCGCTTCCAGCCGCGATCCAGCGCCTGCTCCGGGAACCGCCGCCCTCCTCCCGGCACCGGTACCGGCACAGCCCCAGCTCCCCGCGGCCGCAGCGGGACCGTGCCCGGAGCCCCAGCGGAACCCCAGCCCCGCGCCGGCCGAAGCCAGAGCGACAGTGCCAAGCTGGACCCCAGAGCCCGGCTCGGAGCGGCTCCTCAGGCTCACGGCCATCCCGGACCTCATCCCAGCTCAAATCCCCCATTCCACCCGCGGCCATTCCGGACATCATCCTAGCCCAAATCCCCCATCCCGCCCGCCGAGAAAGAAGCGACTCTGCCCAGGACCCCCAGCAGACACGGGCAGGACCCGGATCCCGGTACCGGCCCCTCTTCAGCGCCTCGGGCTCTGCACAGCGCTCCGAGCGCTGGTCCCGCCACAGCCCAGAACGAGAATCCACCGCACCGAGCGGGCGCGGATCTGCCGGCATTTATGGGCGAGGCCGGCACAGGTGTGAAGAGCGGGGCCGGCACAGGTGCGCGGGGCGGGGCCGGGCCCAGGGGATTTAAACCCCGGGACTTGCCTTTGGAGCCATTTGCCTCTCGGCGCTGGAGGCTGCGGCCGGACCGGCCTCTATATTTATTTTCTTTTCGTCTGTATTTCTTTTCCTCTATACCTCTCCTTTCTCCCTACTCCCTCCCTCCTCCCCGGCCCAGTCCCCCCATCGCATTTCCCTCTCCCCCTACACACCCCACCCCTGCCCTATCCCTCCATTCTCTCACTCCACCTTCCCCCTCGTTCCCCCCAGCCTCCTTCAATCCTCCCCTGCTGTCTGCACGCCCCGACTCCACCCTCGCCCTCTATCCTTGCCACCTTCCCCCGACCACCCCCTGTGCCCCCCTATTCCTGTTCTCCATCCCCCGCTCCTTTCCCCCCGCAGCCGCGGGGCTCGGGGTGCCGGAGAATAAATCCCAGAGGGCCGGACCCTCCCCTCCGGAGGGGGCCCTCCCACCCCCCGGAGCCCTTCTGAGGAGGAGTTCACCCTAACCCAACCAAACCCTCTCCCCCTGGGACCCCCAGTGTGATGTGAGGAAAGCCGGAGCCCCGGCGCTGTCGGGCCGTGTGTTGGACCGGAATGGGGGGGTCCCGGCCGAGCGGGTCCGGCCCCGTGTGGGGACTCCAGCGAGGGCACGGGGCGCCGGGCTCCGGCCCTCTGGGCTTTATTCTCCGGCACCCCGAGCCCTGCGGCTGCGGGGGGAAAGGAGGAGAGCGGGGGATGGAGAGAGGAGAGATGGGGGTGAGGAAGGGTCGGGGTGCGGAGGGAAGCGGGAGGGTGGACAGAGAAGGGCAAGAGGGGAACTGAAAGCAGTAGCGGAGTAAGGACAGGAGACGAAGGAGTGAGGGACGGTCGGGTTTGGGGGGAGGGAAAGGGCGGAGAAAGAAGGAGAATTCGGGGAGAATGAAGGAAAGGTAGAAGAGGGGACAGGAGGGTAGACCGAAGACCCCGCGCCTCACCTGCGGAGCCCGCGTAGGAGCCCCCGCCCGCACCGTGCTCTGAGTGAGCAAATGACACTGAGGTGATTGCCGGGTATTAAATCACCTCGGCCCCACCCCGCACACCTGAGCTGGGCCCGGGCCCCGCCTCACGGAGCCTCGGCTGCATCCCGGGCTCCCCCCCGAGCCCCGCCCTGCCCGGGATGGGGCCGGTGCCGTCACTCGCGGCCCCGCCCGTCACAGCTGGGCCGAACCGGGGCTGGGACCGGGGGTCCGGGTCCGGGTCCTGTCCGTGTCCGCCGGGGTCGGAGGAGCGGGGCGGGATTGGCTCTGGGATGAGGACCGGCCGGGAGGAGCCGCTCCGGGACGGGCGCTGGGGCCGAGCTCGATGCTGCCGCTCCGGCTGCGGACCCGCCGGGGCTCCGGGACCCCCCCAGACCCCGCCGGTCTTCGCAGAGGCGGCGGAATTTGTTTTGAATATTTTATCCAGCACAGGCAGGTAATTGTCAGGGAGGAACCCCAAAAATAAAGGATACGGGTTAGAAGGGTAGGGGGGCGGGCAGTGTCCTGCTTTAAATTAAAAATGCATTGGGAAAAAGAAATCTGTGGAACAGCTCATTTCCAATCCTGAACCGGCTTCTGTGTGATCGGCTGATTCCAGCTGCTCCCATGGGATTTTTGACCTGTGGGTCTTTAATGAATTGCCAAGTGTTAAGCACGACAGAAAATAATGAGAAAACTCTGTGTCAGGGAGTGTCCTAAAGAGCTGGCAGTGCCCAGCATTCCTGGCTGGAATTTGAGGGTGACAGCCCCTCCTTTCATAGTGTTCCTGTGTCTCTAGCATCCCTGCCCAGGGTTTGGAGGTTCCAGCACAGCCCCCCCAGCAC